GGTGACGCTGGCCGTTATCGCGCTCAGCTACCGCCTGCTGCCGCCGGGGATGTCGCTCAGCTGCCCGCCCGTCATGGTGCCCAAGCAGGTGAGTCAAACAACCACAAACACTGGTGCAGTTTGTTGTGCATAAAATCATGCAAAATCATGTGATTTCGACTGTTTGTGATTGCGTCCGATTGTGTCATGATTGTTTCTGAATGTTTTTTCAAAATTTGTGTCCATTTCCACACCCCTCCTATGCAACACATCTTCTTAGATTGTGATTTTCATAGTCATCAATAATATTGTTGCGTTGAATATTATTCTGAGGTGCGAAATAATTTTTATATGAATTCCCCCCCCCCCCCCCTCCCGCGGCTCCCCCCCCGGTGGAGGGTGCAGAACGCTTCTCACAATTAAAAGTTATTTGCTTCCCGCTCTCCCGTTTACACTGCGCCGGCGGGCCGTCCGATGGGGATGGTGTTCTGCGAGACGCCCCCGCCTCTATGCGACACGCCCCTCATCGGCTGCAGGGGGAAGTCGAAGGAAATCTTAGCGGGGGTTGGAACGGGCCCCTGTCCTACTTCCGGACTTGGGGAAAGAGGAGCGACGGAGATCAGGGGAAGAAAAGAGGGGGGGAGCGTAGATCGTCTCGAAGAGGGACAAATATCCTCCCAATAAAATGTCAGATGTGGACGGTCGAGTGACGGCCAGTTTAGCACAAGTTTGGCGGCGCAGTTATGGAAGGGGAACGGGGAGGACGGTGCGAAGGGGTTGTCCCGCACGAGGGGGAGATACATTGAGTGGTGGATGTGTATATGTGATAGAGTCCGGGGGAATGATAGCGCACTTTGCGAGCGCGACGAGTACTTAGTTGGGGGGCATTCTGCCCAAGTTCACTGTGTCTGTTATATCTACGTGTTTTCACGTAAATGCTACCCAACGAATTTTCTGTCTCTCCCCCCTCTCTTTCTCCCTCCCGCTCACATTCAGCGAGCCCCGCTCTGACAGCCTGTCCAGCACATGCTGTGTTCATGTAACGAATTCTCGCCAACTTCTCACTCCTAC